CCACAAGATGGAGAGGATGTTGTCCCTCTGTCTCCATTTATTGTCATAAGTGGACCTTTTCACTGTGTCACTAGGTTATATTATCAACCATATTTAACTGGTAATAAACCAAGGGGGCCCGTGCAAAAAATGGGTAACATTGTGGGGGATAGGCTTAAACTACTCACAGGTGAGCTGCCTTTACATTTAGTGTTGCAGTCATATATATCAACTTATGATTCCCAGATCAGACTGCTGACCAACAAGAGTTGAATAGATGACTAGAAACAACACATATAGGACAGAATCACATCAGATGTAGCACTTCAGTGTTCTTTGTTGGCTAATTACAGGATGCACTCTTGCTGGTTTTCCTTCTGACCCGCCCATTCATATCTTTTGATGGTCTTAGTTTTTTGGCCAACTTTGCTTAGTGGCATCTTGCCTTCTGTTTTTAAAAAGCCAAGCATAGATTAGTGTGATTATATTTTAGCCCATCTTGGAATTGATGGAAACTCAAGTCTCGACCAGTTGCACAACAGTTCTGTCGAGCAGGAAATTACTGGGCGATTACTTAAATTGAGATTACTTGAGATCTACCTGTATTACAAAAAAACTACAGTGGAATTCTCTAGTGTTTGCCTGCTGCAGTGGGACAGGAATTCTTTAGTTTTTGTGAAAGTGCTTCAGGAAAGGTTCTTAAAATGCATTGACAGTTTATCTTTTTATGACAAGATTTAGGTGTAGACACGTAGGTAATAGGTCAAATGTAGGTCACAATAAAGATCACTGCAGGTGATTTGCTGTGGAAGTGGGTCGGTATTTGATCTTTCCTGATTAAAATTTGGTCAATATTTCACCTTTTAAGTACCATTAACCCTATGGTATTCAGGTGTGAAAAAATCCCTGCCCATGTACAATATTATCACAAGTTCTTCCTTACTCTTTGACAAGTCTTCACAGGTGAGAGAGGTCTAATCTGTCTGTTGATAAAATCTATATTATGTTGTATTTCATTATTTTTTTAAGATTTCTATATTAAGATGTGATAGAAGTAATTATTTTCTTTGGTCAATTTTCAATCTATAGTATGTTGTTTTTAGGTAAATGGGATTACAAAAATAATTCTAGCAGATAAGTGTTTTTAGTCTTTACTCTATACACATTTGAAGATTATACGGTGAAAAGTGTAGCCTGACTTCAATAAAGAAAAGATGAAATTAAGAACAATATGAAAAAAATCCCAAGGTTTCTAATAGACTTCTTTAGCTATATTCTTGAACCAAATTCAAAAGTTCACCACCTTTTCGTTTAGGTGTTAACAAATTTGGTCAATATTGACTCAGAATATAATATGTAACATTCAACCATATATAATCTAAAACTGAATAGTTTGAAATCTTTGACAAAGGGTTCTTCTCAACGAGGATCCAATCAACAAAGTAAGTCAAATATCTTCAGGTACCTTAATAGATCTGAAAGATTGCCTGAAAACATATATATACTTAAACAAATTGTACAGGCTGTTTGATCACAAGACCTATTAATGATAAAAAATGGAGATTATCAACCAGTACACTATAGTCATGATATTTGCTATGTTAATGCTTTTCTGCAACATTAATTACAGGGGATAATTCCAAAATGTGTTTACTCCCTAACATTATAAAGCCTACAGTCTATATTTATGTTTGTATGAATATTGAGGAAATGAGATATATTTAACAAAAACTAACTTTTTTAGATGTACCTGTATACAATGGAAAAGAGGTGGAACGCTTTACCTTAAAAATGTTTATTCTTCCGAAATAAAATACATGCTAGGATAATTTGTATTACTGCATCAGTTAAAATTGCGGGAAAGATTTCCACTTGGTACTGTATCACAATTATGAAATTCATTACTCCGAAGGTCACTCAGGTCACACATGAGAACATTTTTGTTTTCACGAATATTTGCTATAATATCTTGATTATGTGATAATATCAATAGAAGCTCTCATGAGATTAATGAAAATTATCATGATTTTTAATTGTAGCTTGCCATGCCAGTGGCTTCTTAAAATATATCTTTTGTTATCTCCGTTTTATATTCCAATTGCAAACTCATATAGTAAGAGCCAGTACTGTATACTTCGTAATGTACTACATAGTTCACACCTATATGTATATGGGAGCACATATCTTTTTGAAGTTTTGAAGTAAAGTAACTGCCATGAAGCCCCACAAGATGCTCAAAAATATCCTAGCAACCATGCATGGGGATAACAAATCTGAAGGAAATGTCACAAACAAATGTATAAAATTGGATGCAAAAACTGTGATGTAATGCATAACAGAGAAACTGTATGTGAGGCCATTTCAAGACCAGCTTGGTGGACACTGGAAAGATTCAGAAACCCATGAGGGACAGAAATTCATCAAATCGGAAAGGAATTTAGTCCCATATCAATAAATGCGTAGTCCGAGATCATGCCACAAGGTTATACTTCTTATGTCCGTTTCATATTCCAATTGGAAACTCATATAAAAGCCAATGTATACTTGTACTACATGGTTCACTGTGACATGTATGTATGGGAGCATATATATTACAGTCAGTATAGTATGTCATTGGAATACTGGCTGAAGAGTATATACAATTGTACTTTTTCAGGTTGGAAAGCTGCTGATAGCTCCACATATTATTGTTCTGTCTTTTAAAAACCAAAGACCTTGAACATTCTAGTCTTCCCAACAATGGCAAATGGCTATATTTAAATCCATTTAAAATACCGGACACTTTCCAGGAAGAAGTAATTTGCCTTGTATATACTTTCTGAACTTCACACCAGTTATAATAATAATAAACTGGGTTAATCTCCAGCTCTGTGGGGGCACTATAGACTGGTAAAAGACTGGTTCACATGCTATTTGATACTAACATATCACAGGCCATTAGTCACGGTAAATGTTGTAAAGGACATACATGCTACCTGACAATTATATCTTCGATTTGTGCAAGAGTTATCTCCTTTAAAAACCTATATTTTCAGATAATTTATTAATTCAAAATAACCCCTTTCTTATAATTATTGTAAGTTTCCTTTCTAGTATCTTTATAATCAGTAAAATGCATGATCACTTCAACAAGTTTGATCTTCCCTAAGCAAGTATCTCTCAGTTTGTTCATTGTGTACCTTTTTTGAAGGAGACACAATTGTGAGATTATGATAAAGTTCTAGTATTTGCTACCTGTAATTAAAATGTTTAAAGGGAGATAACTCACATGATACAAATTACAGGTTATGTAACATGATCTTGAATGAAAAGAAAACTAGCATATGACATTGTCAGAACTCCATAAGATATTTATTTGTTATGAAAAAAAAAAAATGTTTTCTTTTTCTTTTCAGAATGGATAATCATGAGGTTCGAAACAAACGATTTGAAAGAAAGGGGAAGAAAAAAGGCTCCATGAGGGACAGAAATTCAACAAACCGCAAAGGAATGTAGTCCCATATCAATAAATGGGTAGGCCGAGATCATGCCACAAGATTAAGGAGGCCATCTGGAGTGGTGGGCTGGTTCTGAATCAAGATGATGGGTTCCATATAGATGCTTGTACGTTTATGACCAGGTATCAAAAGCATAGCATATTTGTTAATTAATAAAACTTAATTGTGTACATAACAACTTACAGCATAGCCGAATTGACTTGTTGATTTGCTTGTCATCTTGTACTGGTCATCTGTCTAATAGTGTACATACCAATACCACTCATTTAAACGGCACATATACATCTTTCTGGTTGTACTTTATAAACCTGTATACATTTGCTCATTGAATAATTTTTTAAAAAATTATGAAAGTCTACAGTGTTTGAAACTTTATTTAGTCCTTCAAACTTCCTACAAAATTAAAAATTATGTGCTGAAAATTCACTGTTTTAAATCACTACTCATATAACTTCATTTTAAAAACAACTTTATTACCTTATATTTATAGCTAAAAAACTGATTATCTTTATATTTTTAGAAACACTCGAACTAAGATACATCACATGTATCATATTTTATTTTACAAAATTTGAAGTGAGCTGTGCTGTGTATTTTGATATTTTGTAGATAGTACAAAATAGGCATGTGATGTTTATTACTGGTGGTACCAGTGTAACAGGTAAGGCAATCCCATAAATAGTTCAATTACTGTAGGAATAAAAACAATTTATGTTTAAGTGACTGTAAGGAGAAGCAAAGTCTATATACAATACGTGTAACATGGTCTTTTGATGACCCTTGGTACATAAGTGTGGGGAGGGGATTGAATTTTTTTTTTAAAACAAAGCTTGTAAGTATAAACAATTGTTAATGTCTCTGAGATATTCTCTGTTCTCATTCAGTGGTCATGGAATGGCTAACAAAGCACTGGAATTTTCTTTAGCACTGTTAGTCAAAGAGTCTTTGTAACTTACTCAATAACCAAAGGTTTACATTATACCTATAGCAAACCTGTTGTCCGTTTCTCTTTAAATTCTTTTAAAGCAAGTGTTTTGTCAATAGCTCAATTTGAGGTTTCTCAGTCATTATAATGCATATTCCAACCTTACTTGGCTCTTTACATACGTAAATAAAGAATTTTTCCCCCCATGGGGAACCCCTGGAAAACCCACCAATCAGACGGCAGTATTCACGTACGTGATCAGACACGAAACCATCCTTCCCACTTCATAATTCCAAAGTCCAAAAAAGTGAGAGCCAAGGAGACAAGGGGAGGCTGGGAGGGAACTCACCTAATAACTGTGGTAAGTATTTATAATAGAAATTGGTTTCACAAGAGAAACCTCAATTCTATTTCAAAATACGTTACCACAGTCATTATGCGAATTCGACTTACCGCAGTGGTGTCTCCGTGGAGCGATGAAGGGTTCCAACAATAGGACCAATACCCCCGGAGGAAAAATTCAAAATACCTTTTCTTATGTGACACAGAGCCTGATTACGACCAGCGTTCCGGATCACGCGGAGAAGACATAATGAGGGTTATGCAAAAGAAGAGGGAGGACAGACAACGGACTGGGCAGCCACAAGAGGGCCCAAAGAATACAACCCGTCAGACTGTCCCGACAAAGATCGGAGATAGAACTCCGTAAACGTAGAATGACCCCTCCAAACAGCAGCTGTCATGACCTCAGCGTAAGAAGAACCATTAAATAAGGCCCACAAAGTAGCTAAAGCGCAAACCTCATGAGCCCTAACCCCTGACACCCGCAAGGACTGATCCCCTGCCGACTCATACGCAGCTCGAACAGTCTGAACAATCCAGAGTGAGATGGTCGCTGCAGAGATATCGGAGCGACCGGGCTGGAGAGACTGGAACAGCCGAGAGAAGTGTCCCCCCCCCCCCTCTGTTCTGGCCAAGTAGTAACGCAAGGCCCGAACTGGGCAGAGCAGGCGATCAGGACAATCCCCATCCAGAGTTGAAGCCAAAGAAGGGATAACCACAAGCCCTGGGGTGAAACCGGGAACCTGGTTCTTAGCTAAAAAGGAGGGATCAGTGGTCACTGAGACCGAAGAATGGTGAGCTGAAAAAAGAAGGCAAGAAGGAGATCTGCTGAAAGCATGAATATCGCTTCTGCGGCGACCGGAAGCAAAGGCTATAAAGAACACAGTCTTGAAAGTAAGAAACTTCAGATCCGTCGATTGGAGGGGCTCGAATGGCGCCCTCAACAAGGAATCTAGCACAAGTGCTAAATTCCACCTAGGGACCAATTGCCGTGAACGAGGCTTCTCAATGTAGAAGCCCCTAATGAGAGCAGACAATGAAGCGTCCGAGCCCACAGACTTGCTTCCATAGAAAGCCAGCACACTAGCAATGGCTGAACGATAGGCTGCAATAGTTCCTGGAGAGAGACCTTTGTCCTGGAACAACTTCTCGAGAAAAGCCCGTCTGAGTGAGCCTTCCGAGATAGCATCCAACCGTGATGGTGGAGCCGTTCTGGTCCCGAGTAGAACTGCCGGGACCTCGGTTGAGACAGAAGATCCCACAGGGGGGGGATGCTGCGCGGGAAGTCCACCGAAAGCCAAAGCAACAGAGGAAACCAAGGTTGTCGAGGCCAGATCGGTGCAACCAGCAACACAGTACAAGGGTGTAGAAGAATCTTCTCCAACACCCTGCCCACCAGATTGAAGGGAGGAAACGCATACGCGTACATTCCCGACCAGTCCTGGGATAGAACATCCACCGCCATGGCCATAGGATCTGGAACCGGAGACACAAACGTAGGGAGTCAAAAGTTCAGGGCCGTGGCGAACAGATCCACATGGGGTCTGTCCTAAACCAGGCAAAGAGATCGGAACACCGAATGCTTGAGGGTCCGTTCGGTGAGAACCAGGCTCCGAGACCGAGACAGAGTGTTGGCCAGAACATTCAGACGACCTGGAAGGTGCCTCACCGTGTAATCGAGACTGATCTCCTGACACAGCAACAGGACCTGGGTGGATAAAGCACACAGAGCCTGGGAATGGGTGCCCCCCTGGCGCTGCAGATAAGCCACCATAGTGGAGTTGTCTGTCGCCAGACAAATGGCCTTGCCCTGCAGGGAGGGTTAACAGAACAGCACGCATTTCCAGAACATTGATGTGTTCTGAAAGCTGTCCCCCGACCACACCCCCGCCGACGTCTGACCGGAAAGGTATGCACCCCAACCGGTCATGGACGCGTCCTTGTAAAGGGTCATAGCAGGAGATGCCCGAACCAGAAGACATTGCTCTCGAGAGTCCACCAACGAGCTGATTTCTTCACCGACTCCGGCAGAGGAATGTACACAGAAGGAACAGCTGGAGCGGACGGATGTGAAGCCGACCCAAGGGAACCACATCTGCCAGTGAATTCAGGTAACCGAGGAACCGAAGGAACCATCGAACCTGGAAGGGATGAACCCTAGGCGGCACAGAACGCCCAGAACCGACTTTGTGCTCCGGGACAGGATAACTGGATCCACTTGGAGCAACAGGGAGTCGTCGAAGTAGATGTGTGCATCTACCCCGAGACTGTGGAGGTGCCCCACTACTACCTGCAACAACTTTGTGAAAACCAAGGGGGCCGTAGTGAGGCCGACGGGCATAGCGCGAAACTGGTAAACCTGCTCGAAAGTGAGCCTGAGGAACTTCCTGGCCGACCTCCTGACCGGGATGTGAAAGTAACCATCCTTCAGATCGATGGACGTAGCCCACATCCCTGGACGCACTGACGCAATGATGTGTCGTGGCGTTTCCATCTGGAAGTGCGATCATGGCCTGAACCTCCGACCTGAGAGCCTCCACCTTTCCCGGATCGGAAGGAGAAGGGAAAAAGATAGGCTCTCGCGCCAGAGGTGGATCCCGAAGGAGCGGGATGCAGAGACCCTTGGACACAACCCCTAGGGTCCAACTGTCTGATGTGATTTTTTTCCACTGAGGACTGAAATGGGACAGTCGACCGCTACTGGCAAGTCTGGAAGGGGCCAAACCACATCGGCGGAGCCTCCTGTGCCCAAGGGTGTGGGAGCGGCGATAGACAGTGGACAAGGAGTTAGCAAGGGCAAGGAAGAGTCAGGAAAATTTGGCTTTGCCTCGACTCCTATGGGAACCCCTACGGCGGAAGGAAGATTTCCGACGTTCCGCCGACTGGCAGTCCAGAAAGGACCGACAACCGGCGGGCAACAACAAGGTGAGACATGGCAGCCGACAGTAAGGCCATCGCAATTGCCTGGCTGAGGCGCTCCATCAGTCCAACCTTGCTGGGGAGCTGCTCCACTGACTTGCAGCTCGCAGCCAGCAACGCAGAAGTAAACCAGTAGGACAGAACATGGAGTGCCAGCCTAAGGAGACACTCCAACAAGAGTGCTCCCTAGGCCCCATCACAACCTGGTCAACACAGCGTCCCAGACACTTATCCAGATCCCTCTCAAGGGAAACAGAATTAGGGGCCAAGACTGGATCGTGGATGCGGTACGTATCTGCAGCTAAATCTGCAATATCAGCAACCACGACCTGTAAAGCCGAGAGGGAAAAAGGCTTGTGAGCCTTGCTCAACTTCTGCTTTAATAAAGCGTTGACCTGAGCGAGGGACGAAGCCACGCCTCGTCCCTCCGCAAGAGACCTAGCAGAGGCCGAGGAGGCAGAAGTGTGAAAAAGAAGCCGAAACCTCTGGAGGCACCGGATCAGCATCTCGGGGCCGGGATTGGGAAACATCGGAAGGGCCTTCCGAGTCCAACCCAGACGAATCCAACGACTCCAAATCAGAGTCAGAACATCGCCAACTCTATCCTCATCCTGAGTCTCCGTAAAATTGGAGCAACCGGGAGAGCCCCGAAGAACATCCCTCTCTCATCAGTAGGAGAGGCACCTGCCGAATCCACCTCCATCAACGTCACCCTCCGGCTCGGTGGCAGATGGAGGGGGGGACCCATTGCCGCAGGCAANTGAGCCACACCTGGCTGACCTGACCAACTCCACCCAGACTGACCTTTAGCAGGGCCAAAACCTGTAGGGCCAGTAAAACAAGCCCCACCAGGGGAGCAGCGTGCACCGGCAAAACCAAACGCAGCTGCGCTGGCACCTGCCATAGGAAAACCTGGGGAGGAGGCACAAGGGATAGAGCTGGAAGCATAGGTTTTTACACCAGTGCTCACACCACTGTAAAATCCAGCCGGGGCTAGTGAGGCCGAGGCATCACTGACCACCGGACCGGGCAGCAAATGCTGCACAGTGGTGGACGGCGTGCTAGACGCCATCACCACGCCAGGGGCTACATCAGGGATGCAAGGAACCCCGGGAGCAAACAAAACTGCCGGGGGCCGGTCTCCGACACCAACACCCTCAGGAGTGGAGCGGATCGGCAGGAGGCCACCAACAGAAGCATCTGCGGACACAACATGGCTGGCCTGTTTAACATTCCCAAGGGAATGTTGGGCCACCTGCCCTCCTACCACAAATTGGGAGAGGAGGCCGCCCCCCTGTCCCCTAGTCACCGTGGTGACCGGGACAGAGTCAAACCCTCACCCTAGTCGACCGACAAAACGGAAGGGGGGGGTGAGAGAAAGGTCCAGGTCCAATGAAACAAATTGTTTCACAACGGCCCCGGTACGGGTCGAAACCGCCGAAACGAACCCCAGGGAAGACTCAACAGAGGTCGGAATTCCGCTGGTGTTCTCCGAGGGCTTAGGCCTAGCCTTAGCCCTCGCCCCACCCCTACCCGACTCACCTGCACGCCCTCGCGGGCGGGGAGAACCACCGGCAGGAGTCGGCTGCCAGGCACGGCAAATTTCACACGGCTGCTCCAGAGAGCAAGACCGACAGCCAGGACAATAAGGGTGGGGGTCGGAAGCCTCAAAAAAATGACCCCCAGGACAGCGCCTTGGAGAAGGAGGAGTCTCCATCTCATGTAAACAAACCGCAAAAACGCGAACACGTGGCCGGAGCCTGGTCGCAAAACGGCGTCAAAATAAAGCAAAACGTTAAATTAAAACAAAAGAAAGTTATATAGTATTAAAGGATACGTATATGTATGGGTACAAACAACGCCTGTTGCAGTTGGAACCCCGTAGACACCAAAACACGTCCGTAAACACGGCCGGCTGAAGGAATTATGAAGTGGGAAGCATGGCTTCGTGTCTTATCACGTGCGTGAATACTGCCGTCTGATTGGTGGGTTTTCCAGGGGTTCCCCATGGGGGGAAAAATTCTTTATTTACGTATGTAAAGAGCCAAGTAAGGTTGGAATATGCATCATAATGACAGTGGTAACGTATTTTGAAATAGAAAGAGGGTATGGTCCCCCTGGGAGGAAAAGGGCGGGGCCCAATAGGGAAAATAGAGGAATGTTTTTCTCCTACTATACAAGTGAAGGGATTTAAACCAAATACAGTCTGAAGCATGCTTAGGGACAAAAGAATCAATTTTGTATAAACTGAGATGTGTGGGCCCCCTTCTTTGGGGCACATGGGTGGGGCCCATTAGGGGAAATAGAGGAAAACATCAAAGATCCTTCTCTTTTTGTACCGATGAAGGGATTTTGACCAAATTTAGTCTTGAGCATCATTGGTCAAAGGGTTCTCATTTTTGTATAAACGGAGGGTATGGTCCCCAGGGGGGCTGAGGGGCGGGGCCAAATAGGGGGAATAGGTAAATCTTTAAAAATCTTCTTCTTCTCAAACAAAAGAAGGATTTTGACCAAATTCTTCCTAGATCATCTTTGGACAAAGGAGCCTAAAGTTTGTATAAACGGAGGGTGTGGCCCCTCTGGGGTTATAGTGGTGGGGCCCAATAGGGGAAATAGAGGATTTTTTTTTCTCCTACTAAACAAGTGAAGGGATTTAAACCAAATGCAGCCTGAAGCATGCTTAGGGACAAAAGAATCAATTTTGTTTAAACTGGGGTGTGTGGACCCCCTTCTTTTGGGCAGATGAGTGGGGGCCATTAGGGGAAAAAGAGGAAAATATTAAAGATCCTTCTCCTTCTTTACCGTTGAAGNNCCCCCCCCCCAGGCAGAGGAGCAGGGCCCAATAGGGGAAATAGAGAAAAAAAAATCCCTTCTGTACAAATGAAGGGATTTAAACCAAATGTGGTCTGAAGAATGCTTAGGGGAAAAAAATCAATTTGATTAATTTGTATAAAAAGGTGCATGTGAGGCCCAATAGGGGAAATAGAGGAAAATTGGGATACATGGAAACTCATTTTTTTGGTGTCTTTCCCACTAAAACAGATTTATATGTAGTTCTTCTTACAACTTTGTTTCTTGTACTCCTTTGATAAACCTGTATGCTGTACTCCTTTGATAAACCTGTATGGTACTCGGCAGGTTTTAAATTGAAAATAAAATACCAGGTGGGCTATTAAGGCCCCTGGGCCTCTTGTTTCAATTCCTCTGCTACTTGTAGGAGTCGAGCCTTGGACCTCTGCATTACTAGTCCTACACACTTCCGAATAAGCGAAAGAGAACTTCTCCCTAGCCAAATTAGTAGGAAGCGGCTGGTATGTTGTACCAGGGTGACATATAATTCTGAAAAAGATGAGATAGAGGGGTGTTTTTAAGGATACGAGAAGAGCATACTTGCCAACCCTCCCTATTTAGGATGGAGTCTTCTGATTTTTAAATTTAGTGTTTTCAACCAGTGAATTTGCTAAATTAATCCTATATTTAAGGTGTACGTCTCCAGCACACACGCAGGCATTAACACACATAGGGAGATATTGCCCAGGTGGCATAGGACTAGTAGTTCGCACCTGATAAGGCAGCTCCTGCAATTCCTTAAAAATGGTTTTGATTTATGTATGGTAATTATATAAATTGTATATCTATGTACTGTAAAGCACTTTAGAATGGCTTCTGTTAGCTAGATAGAGCGCTAGCTCACCGGGTCCGAAGGGGTAGGGCCAAAAGGGGTCAATTTGGCTATATTGCTTTAAGCGACTTCTTCTCTGGAACTAAGAGATGGATATCAACCATATTTGACTGGAAGCATCCCTATGTAGTGGAGATTCAAAATTGTACAAATGATAGGGCTGACCCCCTAGGGGGCTGAGGGGCAGGGCCAAAAGGGGGCAATCTCGTCATATTGCTACAAAAGATTTCTTCTGTAGAACTATGCACTGGATATCAATCATATTTGATCAAAAGCATTCATGGGACGCTGGGATTCAAAATTGTACAAATGGTGTGGCTGACCCCCCAGGGGGCTGAGGGGTGGGGGCCAAAAAGGGTGTTTGGCTATATTGCTTTAAGCGACTTCTTCTCTGGAACTAAGTGATGGATATCAACCATATTTGACTGGAATCATCCCTATGTGGTGTTGATTCAAAATTGTACAAATGGTGGGGCTGATCCCCCCATGGGGCTGAAGGGCGGGGCCAAAAGGGGTCAACTTGGCTATATTGCTTTAAGCGACTTCTCTGGAACTAAGAGATGGATATCAACCATATTTGACTGAAAGTATCCCGAGGTAGTGGAGATCAAAATTGTACAAATGGTGGGGCTGACCCCCCGGGCTAAGGGGTGGGGCCAAAAAAAGTTTATTATTTGGAAATGGTTGAGATACCCACCATATAACCATGTATACAATTGCTGAGTATAAAGAGAAGAATGCACATTTGCTTCCAGGATGGCCTAGGGTATGTCCCCACCATATGAGACATAGTCCCACGGTAATAACTTTGAAACAGTTGAGTTCCCCCCCAAAAAAAACCTATGTATACAAATGCTGGGCATTTTAGAGACGAATGTAGTCATGATATTAAAATAGACCCTGGGGTCTGACCAAACCCCTAAGGGACCTAGTTTCTTAGTCACAGCTTGGAAACAGTTGAGGTCCCCACCCTATAATCATATATACAATTGCTGAGTATAAAGAGATGAATGCACATATGCTTCCAGGATGGCCTTGGGGTCTGCCCCACCCTTGGAGACTTACTTCTTCGGTCATAACTTTGAAACGGTTGAGATCCTCACCCCAAAGCTTAAATACAAATGCTGGGCAAAAAGAGACGAATACAGTCATGATATTAAAATTGATCCTGGGGTCTGTTGAGATCCCCACCCCATAACCATTCATTAAATTGCTGGGCATGACAAATCTAGTACAGATATATGCTACAAGGATTGGCCTTGGGGTCTGGCATATTCCCTTGCCCTTGGATCTCATTTAGAGAATATTTTGCCATGATTGCTTAGATATCCAGGTAAACGATACAGGCCCTCTGGGCCTCTTGTTTATTATTATATTATGGCAATTTGAAGGGTTATTTCGTCTCTAAGGGGAGTATACAATAATTTATGTTTAAATTTTGAGCATGCAGAATCTCCCCCATGGACATTTCAAAAAGGTGGCAAGTTATGATTGAACCGAGTTGTTTTATAACAGAAGGCGGGTTAAATGGTATTAACATAGTGTTCAGCCATGCATGTCATAATTGAATTTTAAATCACAGTTTAATACATCTACTGATATATTTGAGTTAGATCCCTGTACTATATGACATTGTATCAGCTATCAGTTAAAAAGGTTTATAAAAGAGAGGGTCCGTATCCAAATGTCTTAGACAAACACTGACACTGTACTGTTATTTTATAGCACTCTTACTTCAAATGTTGATGCTAAGCCTATTGCTATTTGTTTAAAATAAATTGTGTTGACTTTTTTCATTGTGCATTTTTATTTGATTGAAATTTACACCTGTATACAGAAGTAAATGACGATTTGGCTACCTGTATTTATACATTCACAAGGTATATTTATGTACAAGATAAAGGATACCTGACCACCAGGTAGTACAATGCCTGACCCAGAGCTCCTGTGTACACAATAAGTCAAGTCTACTGGAGGGGTTTAAACATATAAACTGTCTCTTTACCTTCCTTTCAGGAAGATGTATGCTAGCATTTCATTGGTTGAAATATCGATCAGCGTGGACTTACTTGTCGCGAGGAACATGATGTCTGTAATAGCAGTTGTCAGGTAAGGCATTTGAAGTGTAGGAATATTGATCAAACAGGAACTACTTTTTCTGTGCATCCAAGGGATATATGAAACAAGGTAAGTGATTATTTTATTCATTTGCAGAAAATCTGACGGATTTGTACTTAGATAGATACATTTTTTGTGTGAAAAAAGTGAAACACTCTTACGAATTTAATTGTGTTGTGGGAAAAACGTGTTTTTGGATGTTTTAAATTCTTTGTATAGTTGTATTATGGCTATACATATAGTGTTTGATTTATTAGAAAAAATCTCAGAGGATTTGAGATTTTTTTTTGAGATATCTTGACTTTTTTTATGAAAAGGATTAAAATTATTTCTTTTATTTATAATGGACATTTTTGTCAAATTACAGTGACATATGGATTTTAATAGAAAAAAAAATGTACCAGGTAAGCTCAGGTCCAGATTTGTGTGAAGAAATATTTGATAACTTAAAAATGTAGCTGTTTTAGCAAGTCAAATCTTGACCTGCCTGAGAAATGGCTAGAATTTTGTTTTAAAAGTTATATATTAAAAGTACTTTTTAAAAAATTAAAGAAAGTTTATTCCTTTTATATATTAAAGATATTTAGACAGCTTAATTACATTTTCTTTTAAGGCTTAAGTGAATTACAGAGTGGTATATTTCACTATTTTTTTTATATCAGATTTTGTTTTTAAACTAGAAATTAATCTGTTTTACAGGTTTGTCAATCAAAGCTTTCTGAAGTAAACCTTCCAACAGAATAATTAAGAATTCTTTAGGAAACCCAATCTTTATAAATTATATCTTTTTGTCTTTAGATATCAAATATATAATGTAACTGTTTAACGAACACCTTTAAAGATAAGAAATGAGATAGCACTAGAGGGAAAGGATATAAATATGAGCAGATTATTTACTGTAATGGTTCAATTTTCAAAAAGATATAATTATTTTATATTAAAATCAAATTTGTTTAATTCATTTGATATATATTGAGGAGACTGGATAAGTCTACAAGTGTAATAATTGGATTGTCTACCATTGAAGTGATTAGGTTGGTCTATCATTGAAATGATAAAGTTTGTCTACCATTGAAATGATTGGGTTTGTCTACCATTGAAATGGTAAGGTTTGTCTACCTTTGAAATGACTGGACTTGTCTACCATTGAAATTGTTAGGTTTGTCTACCATTGAAATGATTGGGTTTGTATTTCATTGACATGATAAGGTTTGTCAACCATTGACATGATAAGGTTTGTGAACCATTGACATGATAAGGTTTGTCAACCATTGACATGATAAGGTTTGTCTCCTATTGGAGTTATTGGGTTTGTCTACCATTGAAATGATTGGGTTTGTCCACCATTGAAATCATAGGGATTGTCTATCATTGATATGATTGGGTTTTTCTACCATTAACATTTTTGATTTGTCAACCATTGAAATGTTTATCTGTGCCTACTATTGAAAGGATAATGTTTGTCTGCGATTGAAATGATAAAGTTTGTCTACCGTTGAGAGAAAGTTTATGTATGAAGAATCAAACATTAAAGTTTCAGAATCTGAAAACTATATTGTTTGATTTTCTCTGAAGCATTTGCTTTGACAAATCATTATGATCATGCAGTATAATTTGTGTCAGAGTCTTAATGAAAAGAGTTTTGTTTATAAAAATATGAGTGTATTGTTTGAGCTTTGGTTCGGCTAAGATTTTTCAAGATTAGGTTTTACTAAGCATTTTAAAGATTTGATTTGACTAAGCATTTTCATTTTGACAAGAGTGATTTTAAAGTTGCCCTATTTTGGAGAGTTAGACATACATATACTTTAATTTGATTGTATGAGCAATTCAAAAACGTTTTCTTGTTACATAATTATTTTCTGATTTTAGTTCACGGTGAAAACCAAACTGATCACACATTATTTTCATACATTATTTTTAAGACATATAAACATTAATTAGAAAAGGTAGGTAGATGTAATAAGAATTCCATGTTCAGACGTACAACGATTGTCATACATGTACTTCTACATTTTGTAAGTGAAAACCTACTTTTTTAACAGATTATGATCAATAAATAAATCGGCCATTCCATTTAAACATGTACAGTAGTTGACAATGTTTACCAGGTATTCATATTTACTGACAAAAAAAACCCTACGACCAGGATGTATTTGTACTAGGTCCATTAACATCACAAACAGTATTCAAATTTAATTTTGTCTACTGAAATTGCTTTTAAATAACTGAGGTGTCTCATGATTTCAGTTTGATGATTATATATCATTTAAAATCCTGATTTAACACATCGTGACATGTTTTTTTGTCTGCTAACTTTTCACCATGCTCAAGGCCCTTAGTGTCATGATGTTGGTTGCCCACTCCATTGCTCCTCCTTCAAATGTCAACTTTTTCTGTAAAAGACTTCTTCTACAGAATCATAAGGCCTAGAGTTAAAACATTTGGTCTGCATATTGCTGTGGTGGAGGGTTATCAAGTTTGTTTAATTAAATGATCTTGATGTAATCTCCTGGTCACTGATAGGTGTTTCAAAAACATTTAAACACTTTCATACAGATAAAAAATATGAGGCCTAAAGTCCTGTTAGTTTTCCTGTAGCTGGCTGGGGGTAACAGACTTACCTTTGAGCTCAGTAGATCTGTGAGTTCAAATACCTTTTTCTGTGTCAAGGGCTCAAAAGTGTAAAACAAAATTCAACATTTAATTCTATATAAATCATTATGAACCCTTGCTGTCTGCCTCTTGTTATACAACTCATAGTCATGTTCTGTAGCTCTGCTATGTACTTATAAATCCTCACCTCAGAGAGTCCCATCCCCCACTCCTTGTAACCCCTGTGTGATAAAACAGTCTTTAAGTTTGACCTCAGACCCAACCCACCCCGACACATCATCTGTTGTACGATAAAAGAAAGACAAACCGACCAATTTAAGGAAACTATGAAATCTTTCCTGATGTATTTGTTAAAAACAGAAACTTTCTAAGTTTATACAATATTTATAATATTTTTTAATTTCCAGTGATATATTCACATGCACAGCCAAATCACACATTATGGTCAAAGTGAAAAATACTCATGGGAAAGAAATTAATAAAAAATCTTTGAAGATTAATTGATCATTCCTTCTTTAACATGCATTGATAACCCATATCAACTTTTACTGTGCTGATTAGACTGAAGGTCGTCTTAATTCATGTACTGGAGATAAGATATCTCCCATTTAAATAAAAGGTGGCATTTTAAAAGAGCTTAAATGATATCTAAACTAATAAAGATCCATGCTTGACTATAGATCGATTGATTCTGTCACTGGATGTTAAATTTCTGCGGTGATTATCTACTGGATATAGCAATAGACTTGGTGAATAGTCTCTTCATTGCAAAGACTACTTCCATTTTGGTGTAGTGCCAATATTTCATAATGTTTTCAATCATAAAATTAAAGTCACCAGGTTTCTAGTGTTTGCCACCCATAAATCATTAATTACAGTCTGTATTAAATATTTCAGATGTTCGTATAATAAATTCCCTTGCTCTGATATGAAGACATTAAATCTAATGGTCCAATACACACTTATTTCTTGATATAATCATTATTATGACGTCATAATATTAATAATGACACACCCAACTCTCCCATGAAGATATGGCAGTTCTATTAATGAAACAATTAAGCACTTGTATGAACTACGTGCTGAATGTTTATAAATAAATTTTAAGTTGCTGTGATACAGTATTAAATAATTATTTAATAAAGAAATGAATATTGGTATTTAATTTTTTTCAGTTCAGATTCATACTGACTAAAAATATAATGAATGCCCTTTTCAGTTCTGTGTTTAATTTTTAAATTGGCTTGACTAATTGAAGTTTAGTTTTTAGTTTTGTGGCTGTTTGATTTTAACTCTACAATTGAAGTTCATTTTAAGTGTTATGAGAGTTTATTTGTAGGTATTACTGATTAGACACCTCATTCACCCTGACATCTGGTTATGGTTTAACAACTTGGACATTATATACATGTAGGTTCCAATAACAGGTCAATAGAAACAGAATCAGGGTTGTTTATTCATTTAACCGCTTTTTTTTTAATTTTAGGACTACCATGCATATATATTGCCCCGGTGTAATGTAGTGGTTAAATCCTCTTCACTAAGATTAATTTTTCTCGCTCTAGGTAATTTAAAATTCCTTACAGAAAATTACTGCTTAAGTGAAAGAAAATTAATGCCTGTGACATCAGAGCCTGGTACTTATTGGAGGTGAAATAGTTAGTACACTACAGGTTTCAGCAAGCTATATATTATAGTATATGCCACTTAAGAATTCACACCTGTTATAATGAGACCCACCTCATTGTGTCATTATCACCTGTTGTGCATAGATTGAACAAATTAAACTTTAACGTGTTTGTTCACCTTACATATCATCTTACTTCAACAGAAGGGTTAATTCTTTTTAAATCAAACTGTGCTACCAAAATGTACGGGTCTATTTTCGTTTTATAGTGATTCGCATAAAAATTATAATAAGATTCAGGTATACCTTGTGCATGTATTACATATGTTTATAAACAGTTTATGGTAAAACCTACAGTACACAATTTGTTTGTGCTGAATTTCTACAGATATTGATCTAAAAAATGATTTTTGAAACTTTGTTAGAGGTCAGAGTTTCTTATGTAAGACAGTGTTCTCTGTGTGTTCCTGTACAGGTAATGCCTTGTTTTCAATTGCATGAATAATAGAATAGAAAGTAAAAGTAAATATTTTTTTTTGGTTGACTTGTTTTAAATTCTTTAAAGGTACATATCTACAGATATAATCAGTGTTTTTTTTTTGTTTTTTTTTTAACTTTTTTGAGTTCAGATTATGTTACCAACCATAATGTTAGTGAATATGTATGTACACATGTAATATTTTGCATAATCAGAATGAAAGGTAAAAATAAAATTTAAATCTAATGAATCAGGTTTACAATGAATAATGTGTTATGCTGTTAAAACCAAATGCTTTGTTTGTGACTCATAGATTCCTACCAGGAAGTTTGAATTTAACGGTGGTCG